ATGTCATGTGGAGACAGAAAGATAAACACATTTCTCTCTGTTTGCCTGCTAGGCTCTTGGAAGTACCAGATAAATCCAGAAATAGCTTTGTCCACCAATTTGCCATCATCAATCAATGAAAATAATGGGAAGGGGAAAGCCTCTGAATTGGTGCCTGAAGGATTGTCTCCCCAAGGTGCTGGCTCAAATCAAAAGTAAGGTTTAGGGGAAAGGATACAGGTTGAATCTCCCTTAACTGGAATTCTGAAATCCAAAATACTCCAAAATCCAAAATTTTCCACATGGGTGGCTGAGATAGTGACACCTTTACTTGCTGATGATTCAGTGTACACAAACTTTTGCTTCTTGCACAAAATTATTTAAAATATTATGTATAAATTTACTTTCAGGCTATGCATATAAGGTGTATATGAAACATACTTTAGACTTGGGTCCCTTCTCCAAGATATCTCATTATGTATATGCAAATATTTCAGAATTTTTTAAAAAATCCTTCTGATCCCAAGCAGTTCAGATAAGAGAGACTCAGCCTGTAATTCACACAGATAGCTTGTGATTTCCCTTAACTACTCTATACCTTGGGCACGAGAAAACCAAGGAAGTTCACATCCTTTGCAGCTTGCCTGATTATTCTGAATAAGAACGTGTATTTAGTACGCTGGATCTCATGAATAACTGCGCAGGTATAAGGCAGTGTCTTCCAGTCTTGATAGGAGATGGAGTGAGAGGAACCCAAAACATCTTCTGTCTCCTTGAAGACTTTCTCTGAGGAAAATGAAGAGATGGAGGGGGATTTATTTATTTTGGATGTGTTTATCTCAAGGAACTCAGAGGCATTCAATATTAAATTGTTACCTTAGATACTCAACTATAAGTTGAACTCATGTATAAGGTGAGGGCAGGTTTTGGGGCCAAATTATGGATTTTGATATGACCTGTAGAGAGCATATGACTTGCCCAAGGTCACACAGTGGGTTTCATGGCAGAGTGGGAATCAAACCCTGGTCTCCAGAGTCGTAGTCCAATGCTCAAACCACTATGCCACACTGGTTTGCTTATATATATATATATATATATATATATATATATATATATATATATATATATATATATATATATATATATATATATATAATTAATATATTATATATTATACAAATTTATATAATTATATTAATTAATATATTATATATAAATCCCAAAAAGAATACCTTGATTCTGTCATTTGATACAAGGTGCTAATTGCATTTTGCTATGCCATTGTATTTAATGGGACATGAGCATCCATGGATTTGGGAATCTGGGGTGGGGGTGGGGGTCCTGGAACCAAGCCCCAATGGATATCAAGGGCCCACTGTAACTCCAGATTAATTCTATTTTTCATTGCCTTTCTAAAATACATCTTACAAAAGCATTTACTTTGAAATGAGACAGAGTTATTCATTAAGATCTCTAAGGCAATAGTTAAGGTTAGTAGTATGAGTGCGTTCCTAATTTTAGGATCCCGTGAGCTATTCAACTATATTAACAAGTTATCGTAAAGCAATTCCAATCAACTACTGAAAAGCAGAATTGATTCTTCTCTATTAGGATCAAAAGTGGCCCTTCTTTCCATTGCAGAGACCTTCCTGACCTTGGATATCTGGATGAATTGCCATGAGGAGCAATCCCCATTGCAGAGAAGTGGCAGTCGTCTCTGCGCCTGAGATAAAAAGGTCAAGAATACACTCAGCCAGTTTCTCTTCATTGTAAGCAGAGCTGACACGACCCTTGGTCTGTTATTAGGAACAGAAAGACAACATTGTCACAAATAAACTCAGGCTTTTGCTATCACCCATTCACATTACTACCCAACTATAGTGCATTTTTCCTCTTTAACTGCCATGGTTCCATTCAGTGGAATCCTGGGGTTTCCAATCTGGAAACTAGAGCTCTCTGGCTAAGAATGCTAAATGCCCTCCCCTAAACTGCAAATCTCAAAATTTCATAGGATGGGACCCTAGCAATTATAGTGCTATAATTTTCCAGTGTGGATGGCCCTTGGTTGGGCATTTGGTTGCACAATATTGCCATCCAACACAAGTGTAGCCACTGCACTCTCAACACAGAACTGGAGATTCATGCTATAGAACACCAATGTATGATTTTAGCCAACTTTTTCAGGTAGAGGTTGAGTATCCCTTATCTGAAATGCTTGGGACCAGAAGTACAGTGGGCTCTTCTTATTTGCAGGCTTCCTATCTATGGATTTGAAGCCCATTGTCTATAATACAGGTATGTGTACATGGCTGAGCTAGAGGCCACACACACACCATGCTGCCATAAACAAACAACAGGACTTGAGGTCCTGTGTTTTTTTGTTCATAGAGGTATAATTTGTGCTATAATAATGGGTGGGGTGGGTTTCCAGAACTGATCCCACACAAATAAGAAGGGACAAATGCATTTCAGAGTTCAGATTTTCCCCCCAGATTTTTTTTAATTAAATAAATTTTATTATTGTTAAAAAAAAACAAGTAAGAAAAATAACACAGAGAAAAAAAAGGAAAAAAACCAACAACACATCCCAGACTAACATACATACATACAAAACAACTTCCATAACAGCGAAATACACAATACACAATATCAAACATTATCATTACATTCAAATCTTTAACTGTACCCATTACCCCCACCCCCCTTCTCACTGACCTATCAATATCACTACAATATCAGATCTCACACAGAACAATCTTCCACAAGAAACAAATACTACAATTAAAACAAATAACAAGATTTTGGAATATTTTGGATTTTGGAATGCAAGTAGTGTTGTGTGTATATTTGCAAGACTGGAGAGAGACATCAGAGCAGAGAGGCTGGCTGTAGAGAAATGCGAGGATCTGGTAAATGGCGGGAATCTTAAGCGTGGTGCTTCGTGTAAATCTATGCTTCCCGACATTTCACAGATCCTTGCATCTCTCTCCAGCTGTGTCTCTCTCCATCCTTGCGTCTCTCTCCAGCCTTTTATGATTCTATGATTCTATGAGTTTTTTTGGGGGGTGGGTACAGTACAGATTTCCGGGGAGCCTGCTAACTACTTGCTTCCTCCTTGCAAACAAACAATTAGTATTGCAGCAGCCACCACCATGAAGTGTCATATCTGCACTCAAAACGTTTTGGATTTTGGGTCATTTTGAATTGCAGATTTTCAGATAAGAGATACTCAACCTGCATTCTCATGGTTATGTTGGGATTATAATCTGCTTTTGCAACTGATATAAATAAGAGGAAAGTGCTTCAGGGAAGGAAGGGAGATAAATGTATATTTTTCCAAAAGGTCAGGAAATCCTTTTGCAGAGGGATTCCTGAGATGTTGCTCTTCAGCCTTAGCAGGGAATATCATTGGACCACCAGTTCACACACATAATTGACACTTACTTTCTCTATTTGAACTAGGTAGAGATCAACAAAATCTTGGGGTTCGTGCAGTGCTCGGCACTCCTTATGTTTCTTTATCTCCTTCTTTACAAAAGAAAGCACAGCTTTTCTTGATGACAAGGCCTTCTTCTGTGGTCCTGGGAGACATCTCATGATCCATGGGAACAATTTATAAAGCTACAGGGGCAATAAATATCAATCAAAGTCAGAATTATCCTGGCCACAGTATTTCCAATTTCTATGAATGGACAGTGAAGGAAGCTCACTGGAAGGAGATTAACTCATTTGAAATGTGGTGCTGGAGAAGAGTTTTGCCTTTAGCAGATACCATGGACAGGTAAAAAAGCCCAAGGAATGGAAATTAAAAGCAAACCAAGCTTGAACTCTCACTAGAAGCCAAAATGATTAAACTGAGATTGCTGTAATTTGGACGTATCATGAGATTACATGACTCATTAGAAAAGAAAATGATGCTTGGTAATGTAGAGGGCAATAGGGGAAAAGGAAGACCACATTACAGGTGGATAGGCTCAACCAAGGAAGCCACAGCCTTGAGTCTGCAAGACCTGAGGGGAGCTCTTGGTGACAGGGTGACTTGGAGGTCTTTCATTCATAGGGTCACCATAAGTCAAAATCAATTTAATGGCAAATAATAATAGCAGAAAACTTCACAGACCTGGAACACCTACTAAGGAAGATCCAAGAAGAAAGTGCAAAGGCAGGCTTAAGGCTGAACATCAAGAAAACAAAAAGAATGACCACTGAGGAGGACCTTCACAAGTTCAACCTAGACAATGAAGAAATAGAAATAGTAAAAGAATTCTTATACCTGGGATCAAACATTGATAGAAATGGGGACTGAAGTCAGGAAATCAGAAGATTAAGAATGGGGAGGGTGGCTATGAAAGAACTAGAAAAGATCCTCAAATGCAAACACATACAACTCAGCACAAAAGTCAGAATCATCCAAGCCATTGTATTCTCTATTCCCATGGATGGATGTGAGAACTGGACAGTCAAGAAGGAAGATAGGAAGAAAACCAATGCATTTGAGAGAATGTGTTTCTGGAGAAGATACTGAGGATCCCATGGAGAGCCAAAAGGACAAACAAAGGGGTCCTAGAACAGATCAAGCCAGAGATATTCCTAGAAGCCAAGATGATAGGACAGACTGTTGTACTTTGGACACATCATGAGAAGATATGAATCATTGGAAAAGACACTAATGTTAGGAAAAGAGGAGGGAAGGAAAAAGAGAGGAAGGCCACATGCCAGATGGATGGACTTTATTAAAGAGACCATGAATATAAGTTTGCAGGAGCTGGGCAGAGCAGTAAAGGACAGAGGGACCTGGAGATGTCTCATCTATAGGGTCACCATGGGTTGAGGCAGTTAACAACAACAAAACAACAACAAGCAAAATTCCAACCTCTGAGGCTCTCTGAAGGCCAACAGTTGGTTATGAGCTTTGATGAGACCTGTCTGAGCAGGAAAGCAAAAGACTACTCACTGCATAAATGAAGCTGCCTCCAGATTTTAAGGCCAAGTCAATCTCTTCAATCAGTCTCTGAAAAGTGTTGTCATCCATGGGATACCGGTGTCCAAAAGCCACAGCACATACCATATTGCAGACGGAATTAGCAATGGGTAGCAAAGGGTCAAGCGGCTGCCCTGAAAATGCAAGCAATTTGCAGACATTTTAAAATTGCTTTCCTCTTATTGCTGAGAACTTCATGCAAGAGATAAGAAAACATTTTTATACTAGGAGACATCCATATTGACTATACTTTGCATTATACAGAGACCCCAGGATTCATTTCTTGGAAGATCTTTTGAGAGAAAAGGCCAGTCAGGTGTCAGATGATATTATTTGTGACCTGTTGGTAGAGTTATTTATTTATTTAATATCCCACTTTCATATAGAAAGCATACAAGTTGAGTCTCCCTTATCCAAAATGGGCTTTGGAATTTTTCTTGGAATTTGGAATACCTGTATTTACATATATGTACATAATGAGATATTTTGGAGATGGGACCTAAGTCTAAAGATAAAATTCAATTATGTTCCATATATACCTTATACAATAGCATGAAGGTAATTTTATACAATATTTTAAAATAATTTTGTCTACATTGAACTGTAAGAAAGCAAAGGTGTCACTATCTCAGCCACCCATAAAAAAAATTAAAAAAATATTTCAGGTTTTGGAATCTGGATAAGGGAGACTCAACTGATACTATATCTATTAATATAAAGGTTTCCACCTTTGCAATAGCAGCCCAAAAGACTAACTGTGGATTTCTGAGGACCTCAGTAGTAGACTGCAAAGGGACCAGTTGTCTTAGCTGCCACTGTCAAACATTGTCCTGGAGTGACACTTAATCAGTATTAATTTCAGGGTTCATGCCTTTATTTTGTGCTTTGCAATGTAATTATTGTACTCAATATGAGTTTTGGCTGCCATAATTTGCTTTAGCAGCTATACTGTATTTACATAGTATACCCTCCAGAATTTCACAGAGGAAAACAGGGACAGGTGAAGCCAAACAACAATACAGTGTGGCCAAGATGGCAAAGGTTATCGTAAATTAGAGAAATGAGAAGGGGTCGCAGCAGCCAATTTTTAT